AAACTCATCTGTTTCTACGTTCCACTGCATTCCTAATGCATGTTCTATAGGTAAGCTATCCTGCTCCAAATCCAGATTCTTAACCTCACTGGCTCTTTCCTCTTAACTTAACTTCTAAAACATGTCTTTCATTACTCATCCACTTTGTAAGACAGAACCCACTCTTCTTACAAGTATCTATTAAACCTTCAGCCAGAGCTCTTCTCTCTGTCACTGTCAGAACTGCTTTCAGCATGTCATCTACATAAAAGTTATGCTGAATAGTGCTTCTAACATTAGTATCTTCACTGGAATCAGCAGAGTTTTTTAAGGCGTAATTAGCGCAACCAGGAGATGATGTTGCACCAAAGATGTGAACCATCATACGGTATTCTGCTACAGGTTGAGTTACATCACCATTTGGCCACCATAAAAATCTTTGGTAATCTTGATGCTCCTTGGGCACCTTTACTTGCGAAAACATTGCCTCTATGTCTGCCATGAGAGCAACACGGTCCTGGCGAAATCGTAACAGGACTCTCACCAGTGAATTCGTTAGGTCGGGCCCTTGCATTAATTGCTTATTCAAACTGGTACCACCATATTCAGCACCAAAATCAAAGACAACTCTAATCTTTCCCTTTTGCGGATGGTAAACCCCATGGTGTGGTAGATACCAAATCCTTCCATCTATAGCTTCATCTTCTGCAGGAATCTTCTCAGCATACGACTTGTCTATGATGACATTCATAAATTTTGTGTACTCATTGCGATACTGTGCATTCCGTTCAAATTTTCGCTTCAGATGTCTTAGTCGTTGCTCTACCATGTTTCTGTTGTTTGGCATCACAACATCTTTATCTCGAAATGATAGTTCAACTTGAAAGTGACCATTAAGAACTTCTGTCCCAGAGTCCACAATCTTCCTAAAACGTTTATCTTCTACTGAATCTTCGGACTTGTCATCTATCGCTAACTGTGCATCTACCAATGGACCAACTTGTATCCTGTTGACACTTACTGGTATAATAGAGTCATCCTCGTCTCGTCCAGCCTAGCACTGTACGTACAGCAAAAGGACCATTGTCACTACTGTTGATCACCTGATGTGGTTCAAAGGCCTTAGGGACGTTATTACCAATGAGAAGACCAATATCTGATTCTATATGTGGCAAATGCACTCCACTCAGATATAGAAAGCAAGATATGTCAGCTTGAGTCAGGATGCCCTTCTTAGATACAGGAATTTTATCTTGAGTATAAACAGTTGGAAGCTTTATGACTTGATTTCCTTCTAAATCTGTAACCTCCAGTCCTTTAATCATGCGACTCTCCATGATTCTGTTTCCTGTTATGGTGTGTAAGTTCAGCTTGGTCTTTCTACCACCAACATTTAATCGCTGTCTGACATCTTCAGTACAAAATACACTATCGCTTCCATTATCTATGAAGGCATAGGTCTGTATACTTGCTCCAGTAGACTTACATCTGATACCAACTGGTATGATGACTGGTCTGCAGGTAACCTCTGTTGACACTGCTGCCCGACAATCTGCATCAACCATACCAACGGAAGTAGAAACAACCCTCTCTTCTGGTTTGAACTCACGGTGCAGCACTAAAGGATGTTCTCCATTATACTTGTCACACACCAACCTCTTAGGACAATTCTTTACAAGATGGTTCTCATTTCTAAGACACCCATAACAGAGCCCTTTAGATCTGATGAACGATTTCTTGTCTTTATATGTTTTGTGTTCAAAGGTTTGCATTTCTGTATCCCATGAGTCTTCTCGTCACAAAACACACATGATCCGTCTGATACACCACCTG